CCAGTGCATATCAACTCCAAAACAAGTGCCCTTCATATATGTGGAACTACAATGTATCTGGGAGACTCCACCTGCTTTGGGAGGGGTGAAAGGGTTTGCTACCCTCTACCATTTGACACACCTGTGATGTGAGGACAGAATAGGAGGGAAATACAGTGGTACCTCGCAAGATGATTACCCCTCAAAACGACGAATCCGCATGACGACGAGGTTTTGAGACCGCCAATTTGCTTCGCAAAACAGTGATTCCTATGGGGGGATTTCGCTGGACGATTACTTGGTCCGTGCTTCGCGGACCATTTTTTCGCAAGATGACGATTTTTACAGCTGATCATGGCTTCCCTAGGGGAAATGGATGTTTTCGGGCCCGTGACGATTTTTACAGCTGATCGTCGGCTTCGTAAAATGGCTTCCCTAGGGGTGATCTTCGTAAAATGGGTGTTTTCGGGCCCATTTTTCACAAGACAGCAATTTAAAATAGCTGATCGGCGCTTTGCAAAGTGGCTTCCCTATGAGCAATTTTTGCTGGATGACGACGATTTTTCTCCATTGGAATGCATTAAATGGGTTTCAATGCATTCCGTGGGGAAACGCGTTCCGCAAGACAATGTTTTCGCAAGACAGCGATTTCAATGGCACGAATTAACATTGTCTTGTGGGGGCACCACTGTAAAACATTTTCAGTGACTAATAAACAGATGTGCAAGGATGCCTTCCAATATGCTTATTTCAAAACCTTTAGTAGTCAGTGTTCTGTCTGCAAGAGCTACACAGAATAAGAAGTCAATAATGCTGGGGGGAAATTGAAAGCAGAAGGGAAAGAGGAAGACTTAATATAAGATGGATTGACTTAATTAAGGAGCCCATGACTGCAAGAGCTGAGTAGGCTGTTAACAATAAGAACTTTTGGAAGTCACTAATTCATTTGGATTACCTTAAATTGGAAGTGACAGCACTTAAAATAAAGACATGTATGATCAGGAAAAGAATATAGGACAATATCATCATCATATGCTATCCACTCAATTATGACTTAATTACGGCGACCCTTTTCCAGATTTTCCAGATGCTAGAATACTCTTCTAGGGGACCCCTGGGACTGTGCAATTTGTTCAAGGCCACACAGGTTGGCTGTGCTTGCAGGAGGCATAGTGGGAATCAAAAACTCCCAGCCTCTGGCTTTGCAGCCAGGTATCTAAACCACTGATCTATTCAGCCAGCCAATACAATATCACAATGGACTAAACAATTATTATCAGAAAATGTTGTAAAAAAAACACCAGTGTGCACTTGGAAGTATAAATAAATTAACATAACCAGCAATTCCATTTTCAACTACTAGAGGGATTGAGAGCAGTGTTTGGAAAAGTTACTTTTTAAGCATTCGAGTTCTTGTTCCCAAAAAATGAATTATGTGCAGCTTGATAGTATGATGGCGAATAAAGCAATTTGGTATGCAGCCATCAAACAGACAGATCTACACGTTAAAGATTAAATCTAGTGCTGACTGACTCAGTCAACTGTAGGCTGCTCAAAAAGTATAATGTGGGTGTTTGGGTTTACAACGATATTGGTTGTTACTTTGAGAAGGCAGAAGACAACAGTATAGGACAAGTTCTAGCAAAGTTCCAGATGTAGCTGTCAAAGGAGACGGAGGCAAACAATATAATCCTACTAGAGACAGAAGTTATTTTTTTGAACTAGAAACCCCACCCCACCCCTACCCCCACAATAATCCTCTAGCCCTACAGTCACTGGCTTTAAGATTCTGGGAGCTGAAGTCCAAAAAGTAACTTTTGGAGCTCAGTTACACTAAGATCAGCTGAGTTCCACTGACTCCCCAAATCACCCGATTGGTCCAAGCTGCCGTGCACACTCTGGTCATAATCAACAAGGTGTTGCAGAACAGAGGGGAAAACTTGTTTTTAATAGGTACTCGAACTTGGAGTTTGGGACTTGGGACTTGGTACCAAAAACTTAAGAGTCAGACTTGGAACTTGGACTGAAAGACTTGCGAATATCCCTGCTAGAAACACATGACACAAAATGGGGGGTAGGGGGGAAGATAGTCAAGAAAAAGGAAAGAGAAAAATCCTTAGGCATCATCTTAACATTACAACCAATCAGGAAGTGCTTGGAAAACACAAAATACAGCAGTCAATGATGACCTCTGTGGGAGGCAGAAACCTAAATCAATAGAAGGTGCACACTGATATTAATTATATATACTCTCACAATTCTGAGGCTTGAAAAACCCAGCCAGTAATATTGGGCCTGTAATTTCTGATCAAGCTGTTACCACAAATTAATTTCTCCTCGGAGAACTGATCATTATTGCTCCATAAACAATCATGTAAAAGAAAGTCCAGCTACTTTAAAGATGATGATAATGGCTTTATTTCTAGTAGAGTGACTTTGATTTAGATTAAATTGATTTAAATTGAGATCGAAATCATGATTTAAACCACTACTCAGAAAGACTAGATTTAATTATATGCCGTTCCTCTCAGGAACGTCATATTCCTGCTTTCTATAACTTTAATACATTTTTACAACACATATTTTTCACAATCACCTCCCCAAATTTATTCTACAGAAGTCTATTGAGCCCCATAAATCTGAGGTCCCAGTCCAGGAACTCTTGAACCCCATTTGGTAAAGGTAAAGGTTCCCCTTGACATTTAGTCCAGTCGTGTCCAACTCTAGGGCGCGGTGCTCATCCCCGTTTCCAAGCCATAGAGCCAGCGTTTTATCTGAAGACAGTTTCCGTGGTCAAATGGCCAGCGCAACTAGACACAGAACGCTGTGACCTTTCCACCATGTAGGTACCTATTTACCTACTCGCATTTTTACATGCTTTCGAACTGCTAGGTTGGCAGGAACTGGGACAAGCGACGGGAGCTCACTCCGTCGTGTGAATTCGATCTTATGACGGCTGGTCTTCTGACCTTGCAACACAGAGGCTTCTGCGGTTTAACCCTCAGTGCCACCCTATTTACAAACCTTTAGAAAAATAATTACTGTATATGAATGCATTGCCTCAAAGAATAGTAAGTCATGAGTAGAGATGGGGGTATTCGTATTTGCATATGAATATTCCTGCACAGCTGTAGTTAATGAGGACCCGCTCCCCTGGGGCCGGACCGTCCACTCATGTGTCTGCAGGTGGCAGCCTCGCTCATCCTTCTAATCGCTCCCGGATCCCCTGTTCTCTTCCTGCTTGGCTAGAGATTTGGCAGCCATGCACGAGCCTTGTCCTCTCTCCTACTGCCTGGGTGGCCAGGAGAGCAGGAAGAGAGTGGGGCTCCAGGAATGACTAGAAGGAGGAGCCAGGCTGCCAGTGGACATGTGACTGGATAGGGTGGACCATCGGTAACTCCAGCTGTGCAGGGATATTCATATTCATATATCCCCATCTCTAATCATGACCCCCATTCCATCATGAAATTAAACTGTAATATGATTCATGACCTAAAGTTTTTTGAAAAGAAATATTTTTAAGAATGTATTTTTTTTAAAAAAATTAATTTTAAAACCTGATTTAAAATGTTGAAGTCTATTTTTTTTAAAAAAATGATTTTTATCTCTCAGCTTTCTAGTTCAGTAATTAGGGACACCATGATAGCTTTGATGTGGTTTTACTGCATTAGTGAAGTGACCTGTATTTTTTAAAACCTAAGAAAAATAAGAGAAAGTTGACATAAGAGATTAGAAACCTGAAAAAAAGGGATTGCCTTAATATCTTTTAAGAGTCAGTGGAAAGTGAGGGAGCACAGCTACTCTCTTTTATAAGCACATCAAATCTTGGTAAGATGCCAAGATTTTGACCTGAAATTTCTTGTATCTGAAGGGAATCCAGAAGAATACTTAGTCACCAATTCTTAATGTTACTTCAATTGGGTGACTCAGTGCTGTGCAAACTCTGTAGAAGATCACCAGTTCAATCTCTTGCACTGCTAGTTATGTCTAGGGTGCAATCCTGAAAGGAAAGGCTCTTGGTATAAAGAGGTTTCTTTTTCCTGTTGTGTATTGTATGCTGAGGGATGTGGTGGCGCTGCAGGTTAAACCGCAGAAGCCTATGTGCTGCAAGGTCAGAAGACCAGCTGTCATAAGATCAAATCCATGTGACGGAGTGAGCTCCCATCGCTTGTCCCAACTCCTGCCAACCTAGCTGTTGGAAAGCATGTAAAAATACGGTGGGTAGGTCACGGCGTTCCGTGTCTAGTCATGCTAGCCACGTGACCACGGAAATGGTCTACGGACAAACGCTGGCTCTACAGCTTGGAGACGGGGATGAGGATTGCGCCCTAGAGTCGGACATGACTGGGCTAAATTGTCAAGGGAAACCTTTACCTTTACCTATTGTATGCTGATCAGCTATTATAGAGAGGTCGGGCAACCAACCTTCACTGGATGTCTTACACGGTATCTCAAACATTCTGTTAACCAACTCTGTCCAGCCAAGGATGTCTCCATTTCAACTTCCCTGTTTATCTACTCTCATTCTTCATTCCCTTGTCCTTCTCTGACCAGTACCAGTTGCGTGCATGTTGTTGACTCCTCCTTCTGTGAGATATGCCTCATATGCTTCTAGAAGAGGCATGAGGGGTGCCACCGAGCCAATCTGGATCTCAGCCTAAAGAATTATATTTACTGATGGAAATGCATTATGGATGCTTCCTAATGCAACTGGAACAAATATGGAACACATGCACTGCAGTCTGTGGCGTTAATTGTGTGCTTGAACAGGATCTTGATCTGAGCTCCCATCAATCATCTGCACAATTTCCACAGTTCAAGGGTGCAAAATCGGCATAGCTCTTTGCATTTCACTTTTTAAGATAGTAACTGCACACAGGAAGGAGAGAAGGAAGACAAATAGCTAAACCTACAGAGAGTAAATATTTTTCTCACTTTTGAGAAAAACTACTTTCTTTTGGTCTTCCTGATAATTACATACCCACACTCTCACCATAATTTTTGGAATGTATTTTCCCTACCTCCGGTCGTTTCTTCTCCTCCTGAATAATTTTTTGGTGTGTGCAATTTCAGCTTCATGGGGCAATGGGTGATAACCCTGGCATAAAAAAGAACAGAGGGGAAAAGTACAGTCATTAGTGCAGTAGAAAAGCAAGTGAAACTTAATCCTTAACAACAAAGTGCTGGATTTTGGAAGCCCCTTCACTCCTGAGTCTTAGAAGTGAACCAAATGTTGGTTTAAACAGTCCATTTCAACTAGCTTTGAATTACAGTGGTGCCCCGCATGACGATGATAATCCGTTCCATAGAAATCGCTGTTTAGCGAAATTGTCATGCGAAATCAGTTTCCCCATTGGAATGCATTGAAACCCTACTAAATCGCCGTTCCATAGAAATCGCTGTTTAGCGAAATTGTCATGCGAAATCAGTTTCCCCATTGGAATGCATTGAAACCGTTTAATGCGTTCCAGTGGGGAAAATACCTCGTCGTCCAGCGAAGATCACCCATAGGGAAACCATTTTGCAGAGTCGCCAATCAGCTGTAAAAATCATCATCTTGCGAACAAACGGTCCGCGAAGCACGGACCAAATCATCGTCCAGCGAAAATCCCCCATTGGAATGACTGTTTTGCAAATCGCTATAGTGATAGCAAAACCTCATCGTCGTGTGGATTTGTCATTTTATGAGGTCGTCGTCTAGCGAGGTACCACTGTACTGGAAGAAACCAAACTTACTTTGATTTGGGGAAGAATTAGACCATCTGCCTTCCTTCTAAAGCAATTACCCATTAAGCTAAAATACTTGTATCAACATGCTTCAGAATCATCATGTACCATACACTTATGAAGACCAGTATGTCAGAATTCTGAAATCCATCCAAATACTGATTGGGATGGAAATGGTCAGGTTGAACAGTTATGAGAGAACAGAAAACAGATGAGATTAATTGGCAAACCTATGCATCTCTATTTAAATCCTACTGAGGGCACGGTTATACTGACAAAGAGAATTGCTGTTGAATCAGGTTTTGTGTAATTAAAATCAATTTTAAAAATCTAGACTACATGACGCATAGTGAAGCCTGCTTTCTTTTTCTTTCTTTTTCTGTAAATGAAGGTTTTTCTGAAGAGGTTGACAAGGGCTTTTATATTTATCACATTTCTGAAATCGATTCTTTATGAATAGCCTCAGCCAACATGAATGCCCCTGTCGCATTAAATAGTGCCTTTGTGGGTAGTTGCTGGTTTCTAAACAATGTCACTATGCCACTATGTTGCTTAATTTTTAAAAAAATAAATAAATGCACAAATTCCAAGGATGCCTGGAAACCAAAGAAATGCTACACAACACTGAAAACAAATGGAAAGAGGAAGTTGCAATCAATGGGATAATCAACAAGGAAAACGATGTGGTCTGCAAACATGGTGGTTAATGAAACAATTTTCAAAGTGAACATACTATAACCATGTGACTGAAAACTGATTTAAAATACATTGGAGCTGAAATAGATACCAGTCAACAGTGTAACCATGCCCTGAGCTTAACAGGTGTTATTTCCAAATTAGTCATACAGGGCGACCAAGGCTGTCTCTGTACCAAAACCCGGCCTGAAACCCGACTGAAATGGATCCAGAAAATTGATTCTTTATGAATCACCTCAGCCAACATGAACGACCCTGTCGCATTAAATAGTGCCTTTGTGGGTAGTTGCTGGTTTCTAAACAATGTCACTATGCCACTATGTTGCTTAATTTTTTTAAAAATAAATGCACAAATTCCAAGGATGCCTGGAAACCAAAGAAATGCTACACAACACTGAAAACAAATGGAAAGAGGAAGTTGCAATCAATGGGATAATCAACAAGGAAAACGATGTGGTCTGCAAACATGGTGGTTAATGAAACAATTTTCAAAGTGAACATACTATAACCATGTGACTGAAAACTGATTTAAAATACTTCGGAGCTGAAATAGATACAAATCAACAGTGTAACCATGCCCTGACCTTAACAGATGTTATTTCCAAATTAGGATTTAAAGCATCTAAATAGTATGTTACTGAGTATTAAGGGCAGAACACATTAAATTGTAGAAATTATATATAATCTCTGTTTCTGACTAATCCACACCTTCTCTCACACCTGTGGGCCCAATCCACTAAACCGCACTGAAGCCTTGAACCTCAGTAAGTACCCATCACTAATCCTGACTATTATGGTGCTAGGGCAAGTATTCAAAGTTAAGAATCAGTTGTTTTGCTATTAATTTCCTTGTTTACAGTTCTTTGTATTTGTTATGCAATCTAGGTAAATAGTGTGTTCTGATCCAGAGCAAGAAAGGGGAAATTTAAACCCCTGTTGTTTCACCCTGAGTTAATCTTTTAGCCTTCTCTGCCACATTCCAGGCAAAGCACAAAGTAAAGATTAAGAACTAGCACAGTCGTAACTTGGTACCCCAGATAAATGTCTCGCTCTTTATATATGTATGTCCTTCAAGTCACTTAAGTGGTGATTCATTGTGATTAATTCATTAAGATATTCAGCTTTGCTGGTGGCTACTCACTCACCCGAATGTCAAGTTAAAAAGCTAAATCTGGAAAAGCTTTGTGTTTTTTTGTCAAAAACTTCAGGATCCTCCCTGGGAGAAGCTGAATTTGGAAAAGTGCTTTGCTTTGATCTAAAACTTTTGGATTCCCCTGGGAATTGGGGACAGAAACAAGTGTTTCCAGACTCTCATAGGGATAGAAATAAGAATGATCCTGGTCTTAATGCAAGCTGCATTAGAGTGAACCTGAATTACAGATAACTGTATAGCAAACCTACCAAGTTGTTAGGGTGAGTTCAGAATATAACTTGAAGGCAAAATATTAATATCAAGGGAGAGTGAATTTCTCTACTGAGGCTAAATTACTGTTGCCAGTGGCTGGGGTGCTAGCATAAATGTTTCTCAAGTTTACTGGCCAGTTTTATGCTATAAATTTGTAGTCTCCTTGCCTTGCTTTACAGGCCTTGACTCCAGTCCCTCAAAACTTCCATAAACTCCAACTTTCCATGCCTAAGCTTCCCTCTCATCGTAATGATGTTCTACAAAAATAAGTGTACAAATTAAATATATGCAGATCTGCCAAGAGGACATAAATTTATTCCAGCCACTGAATTAAGCGTTTGTGTCCTTAGACCCTTTGAATATGGATTCAGGCAACCCAGTTCAGCCCCGTAGGCATTTTTCTGTGTTGGAATTTTTCTCATTCGGCCTGCACAACTCCTCTCTAAGCCTCAAGGAATGGGTGTTACGGTATGTCTAGTCCTCTCAGTGATGTTTCCAGGCCTCATTGTGCAGAGAGCTCTGTGCTTCTTGGAAGAAGAGAGGTTCTTTAATAAATGCACAGTATTATTTATTTGCTTAGAACTACAAAGCTGTCGCAACCACAGTAGACAGTAAAGGCCTTTTATTTATGCAACACAGTGCTCTCCAGACTGTCTATAAAAGCCGCCCTGCAGAAGAACACTCTTCAGATATTCATACAACCATCCTTTCTCAGAGTCCCTAGGGAAGTCTTCTCTGCCACTGAGTGAGTGAAGCGTGGATGGAGGAAAGCCTTTCCTATTCCGCTTCACATCACGACTTGAAATGGGCTTTGCAAATGACCGTTTAGAAGCAATCCTTGTTTGGCGCCGACGGAAGCTTGCCCTGTTGGGATGTCACAACAAACTATCTATCTTCAACAGTGCCCTGGTGAAAAATTTGAGTGGAAAATAAAACATAAAGGAATAAGAGGGCAAAGCTCTTGGAGTGGGTCTGGAACGCCTCGTCCCAATACTAAGGGGAAGGAGGATTTCTCCCCCCCCCCCAAGGTTTAGTTATAAGGTACCTACAGGCAAATTCTACTGGAAGCAGAGGAAGAGAAAGCCAGAGCGATGATCCATAGGGTTGAAATAAGGACCAGTTAGAGCAGGGGTCTCCAAACTTTTCAGTGTGAAGGCCATATCATATATTTTCCACGTTGTTGAGGGCCAAAGGAACATAGGCACACCTGTGTGCGCACGCCTATGCACATGAGTTGAATGGAATGGACCTAAGCCTACAGACCTGTGCCTGTGACATTCACTGGGCCAGATAAAAAGGCAAGGTAGACCAGATGTGGCCCATGGGCCATAGTTTGGAGACCCTTGAGTTAGAGTAAAGTTGTTTGGTAGACCAATGTAAAGTGTCTGATACCCATTTATACCAAGCAAGATATTTAAGGCTGAAAGAGATTTGGAATACTATACTTTTTTTTCACCATACATAAAATTTGCAGGAAAAATCCGATAAGATATGAGAAAAGCTTTTTTAAAAGAGGTAAATACAAAAGATTTAATAAAACCAATGATTTGAACATATTTTAAGTCAACTCGTCAACTGGTAGCCACAAGCATACGTTCAAGAACATACACATATTTTAAAGACTAACCCCATCATATTATAGTGTAGTACAAATTAGATTCCTTTGTACAAGTTATATCTCTACCATGACCTCTCTAAACGGCTTCAGACACATCACTAATTGCCAGAACCCATTCTCTCTCAGACACATCTGTATTCTGAAGACAATACCACCCTACCTTGTAAGATTGCAGTTGATATCCCTTAGGAGGTACAGTGGGGTCTTGACTTACGAACGGCCCGAGTTACGAACATTTTGACTTACGAACTGCTCTCATAGGAAAATATTGACTTGACTTACGTACTTAGATTTGAGTTACGAACTGAAAAAAACTGAAAAAAACCCACATGGGAGGCAGGGAAAGTGCAAAATTTGAACTTTCACTTAACTGTTGGCCAGTGAAAAGGGTGTCTGTCTGCTTCCTCACTCCTCCCAGCGTTTAGAGACTGGATTGGGAGCCTTCAGACTGCCTGGTACTGTACTGCCTGGACTGTACTTTCCCTGCCTTCCCTGAACCTTTCTTGACCTAAGAAAAAGAGAAGCAAAATATCCCCCCTCTAGTGGTTGAAGGTGGAATAGCAGCTTCCCATTAGTTTCTATGGACGGAAAAGAGCAGATATGGATCAAATGGTTTTCAATGCATTCCTATGGGAAATGCAGATTTGACCTG